GTCATGAGAATTTGGTTGGCCATCTAAATTTAAATAACATTCTTGTTATGGCCCCCCTGCAGTGCACCACTAGCAAAGAATGACTGATAGATTCTTTTCTTAAGGTGCCCCCATAGGAAGATATCTGGTGGATTGAGATCTGGCGAGAAGGGTGGCCAAGGAAATATATGTGCAACGTGAGATGGGGATGAGTGAAATTGATCTACCTTAAAGGTTTCCAATTTCTGCAGAATTTGCAAGGATAAAATGGGCATCCTTATGGAACAATTTGGTGAAAGAAAGTTGGAAATATTTTAATTATATCAAAATAGAGATGGAAAGTAAAATAGGTCGTTTTTATGGACCATCCTGTATATACTGATGTATGAAAGATGTAAATACACATATAACTATAAAATGGCATTCACCTAGTGTGTCAACTGTTTAGATGCTGTCAAATCTTTTGCTTGCCTGTTACCTCCTCAAGTTACGCACTGCTGAAATACCAACCAACCTAAAGCCAAACAAAGAGTGATTTATAATATTTTCTAAGTGTATGGTTGACCTCTTGTTGAAGTTATCTGAGGACAGTTAAAACTTTCAAAACGTAAAATGGCACATAAATGGCCTCAATCAATGTTGCAAAAAAAAAAAAAATAATAATAATAATCATAGTTACCAACCCCTGTCCAATTAGGTAGTCAGCCATCTTGACACAGTTTGAAAAAAAGAGGGGAGTCTGAGCGATACCTGGAAGTTGAGTCATTGGAAATGAATGGTGTATATAATACAAGAACCCTCCATCATAGCATCATTGCATAAATTAGAAGTGGAATAATTAGTAGGATATTTTCATTTCTCAGTAGTTTATGGAACTTGGTTATTGAGTATATCTTAAAATATTGGTAAATGTACTTTATTTACTTGTTTAAACTGGCTTCATGGGACACACATTGTGTTATGGCCTCCGGTTGATTAATTATATCATACCATGCATAAAAGACACTTCCAAGTTCTTTTCTAATGAATCTTTAGGTTAAAGAATAATTGCATTACCCTATTGCAAATGATTCCTCCATCACCGACTAACAGGGGAATTATTCATCTTTGCATGACACCATCTTGGTCGCCTTACAAATAATTAATTTTACCTGTATTCCCTTGCCAGGGGCATTTGTAATATTGGCATTGTGTAGATATTCACATATATGTAGATTTTCTCCTGCTAAATAATCAAGACTCTTCTCTTGCCCACTGCTGTAAGAGGCATTGGATCAATTTGTCTGAATAGACAATTTTGATGGATAGCTGCAAAGTAAACAGCTTGCATTCTGCCAGTGTCTGTGGATAATCAGCAGGTGTGTTGTTTGAAAGCCAACTTTGAAGTGTGGATAGCTGTGATAAGTTGTTTTAGCCAACCAAACATTGCTCTTGTTGGAACTTCTACAAGAAGTTCTATTTATCAATGAAAGTATCAACTTCCTGGCATCAAAGTCAATACAAAGCAATCATACCTTGTAGCTGTTCAGATTTCTCCCAAAGCTCATTGTGACTTTCATCAATAATTATGTTCAGAAATAGACTATACTGGTTCCGAGAAAGTATGATCAATAATCCTCTCATATGGTGGAGAGTTTGGAAATTAATGAGATTCATTATTCAAGTCGTAGCATCTTTATTTACCATTGATCATCATTCATGAAGAAAACTAGAGTATGTATACCTACAAGCGGCTGGATTTTCAGGTAATTTTCAATCCTCGCACTGCATTTGTATGATAATTGTAGCTCTCAGGTAATGTTGCAGAGCCGCTTTACCTGTCTTGTGTGCATGTGTCTCGTGGTGTTCGGGGTACCATTATTGACACGTTTCTCACCTAGAATACATTCTGCTTCTCTAAGGTTGGAGCTGAATTTTGTAAACTTTGGTTATTTTGATAAGAAGCTGAAATGATGAAGTTTTTAATAATGTTTCAGCGATAATTATAGTCTTAAAAAGTAGTTGTTTGGATTGTAAATAGACAGTTTTAGAAAGTTTGAAAAGCCATTGTAATTCCCTTTCTGTTCTTGCTTTTTTTACACACAGTGCAGATTGTTTTCATATCAGAGCAATTAGAGTGCCGATAAGAATATCTGCTTGCAAAAACTTTGGAAAAAATCATACTAGTGATTCAAATGACTGGTGGGCACATTAAGTCTTTATATGCAAGTTGCCTGTTGCTGATTTCTCACAGCCCTGTCAATACTGCCAAATAAACATATATCTTGGACTTATTCATCTAATTTTGAATCCAAAAGATGATAACCATATCACTGATTTTGTCTACCAGATATTGTTTTTTTTTTGTTCATGTATTTAATAGCAACTGAATAACCTGACTTAAGTATGGAAATTGTCCCGTTTTTCCAGATATTTCTGCTGGTAATTTTTTGTCTAGAATGTAGATAATGCATTTTTTAAAATTCAAACTAAACTTTTTCAGTTATTGCATTACCACTTATTTGGGTATAAAATTGAAATCTATTGTAATGTCTGCTTTATTTCTCCTTGCTGAATTATAACAGTAAGGGCTCATTCCCAGTTGTACTATTGGTCTATGTAAATTGATCCAACTCCACGGGTGACTTTTGCAATGCAATTTTTAAATGAGATGCCTCCTGGCTTTGAGAAGAATGTGGAAAAACTGGTGATTTTATGAGCACAGTGGAAATAATAGGAGGCGCGTTAATCTCTTAACATGAGGCAGGAGGCATCTCATTTAAAAATTGCATTGCAAAAGTCACCCGTGGAGTTGGATCAATTTAAGTTGATTGCATTCAGCAAGAGTCTCCGCGGAGTTGGATTGATCTACATAGACCAGTAGTGTCACTGGGAAGGAGCCCCAAGTGTCATTGACTTTTAACTGGTTTAAAGTCATTATAATCGTTTTTCTTTTCAATTTCAGCGAGATGTCAGTGGGCAGTGGCTCATAGACCATGTGTGCAAACATCTCAATTTAGTTGAAAAGGACTATTTTGGTTTAAGATATGTGGACACAGACAAGCAGAGGGTAAGGTGATCGAAAGGTCGTATTTTTTTGTTTTCCAAAATTATATCAAGTGCTTAGTTAAAATTGCCTTGACTCTGTTTCAAGCTCATAATTCATTCGTTGAAAAGGGTATTTATAGTTAGTTGCCTTCTTCCTGTCTATATCAGAAATTTGTATACTTATCTCAGTGGGGGATTATTAATTTAATTTCGAAGAATGTGTTATCTTGATATGAATGCATCTGTTTCAGTGTGTTCTTGCAGTAGAGTTGTGTGCTGTATATAGTTAACTTTTATTATTTATTTTTCACATTGACTCATAGTAAAAGAATAATGAAGTTATCCCATAAAGCATGTTTACTAGCAGACATATAAGAAAGTTATCCTAAGTTGGCAGTTGTGTGCACAGAAAAATCTTATTTAAATGGTGGCATTTTGCAGTATTTTCCTTCTCCGTAAGGTCTTTCCCCAATATAAAACATTTCCATCTTTCTGTATTGATAACGCACAACTAAGAAGAAAAATGTCAGCAAAATTTGCATCTGAGACTGAATGTTTACTTAGTCGGTGGCCATTAAAGTGGTATAATGTTTACAAAGAGTGAACGGTTAAACAGAGGAGTGGCTCCTGTGACAAAGCACTGAACATGTGCATTATCAGGTTAATCATAAAAAATTCATGTCTTTTCTTGATATAACATACACTTGGGTTGGTTTTTGATTAACAGTCATTTGAAACTGGGTGATGTCCAATGATGAAACACGCACCAATGGATGAAAATGTCTCTCATAGTAAAACACTATACGCTATGACACATGCTTTAATTAACTATGGCTTTAATTATACTATTTAACAAGCTGTGCTCCACAGACAAATAAATATGATGGTGAATATAATTGTGAAGTAAAATGTTCACTTTTAGTTCAATCAGGCTTGATCAATTTAAGCACTAGTCCATTGCTTGTGTTTTAGTTCACTTCCATTTATAGCAGCCATAAACTGGATTTTTGTTCTTTAAATCTTTCTATTTATAGATAGATGTAGGTAGCTTTAGCTTATCTCGCAAAGGCATGTTATATTGAAGTTGAGTTCCCTGCTCATGTAATTGCATATAAGCACGAAGTTAAATTGCCAGAAATTAACTCTTACTTCTAAATCCTAGTCAAGAAAAATTCATCAGAAAATGTTTATTCACAAGGTATTTCTTATTTTGGAACCTTCCTTGTTGGTGGCAGGAATTTTGAAATGTCCTTTTTTTTTCTTGCCAAAACCCCACAATTTTCTGCTTTCAAACTATTAACAATATGATGGTATTATCTGCTTGCATGTGATGTAATCTGTAGGAAAACTGATAACTTTTGTCCGAGTGTGTGTGTGTGTGTGTGTGTGTGTGTGTGTGTGTGTGTGTGTGTGTGAAGTCGTTCACTAAATAATATGGCATGTTAGTTTACAGAGACACCTGTATATATTCATTTCAGCATTGGGTAGATCCTCTCAAACCTGCATACAAGCAACTTAAAAGTAAGTGCATGTTCTTTTATTGTCTCCTACAGTTATTACTAGCCCTTTGAAGTTATTTCTAGGTAGTCTTCAGTTGAGAAGATTTTGACTTTGCTAATCTCAATACACTTTCATGGTCAATGGGAATTGGTGTCTGTCCAGCAACCTGACCATGTAACATTTAATTGTTATTATGACCTGTTGGTCAAGTGATGAAGAAAATCTCATTGCCGAGTTATATTGAGCCAAACTGGAGATGGCAGTGCAATATACTCAGAAAAAAAAGTTCATCCAATTCTGTTGTGCAATTTTGATCTATTTTGTTACAAAAGCATAAAGATAAAGATGTAAGAAGTGCTTTTGTGTACATCTACTGAATTACACTAGGATATATTGAACTAGGACTTGATGTTGTAATGAAAAGCACTTTATATGTCTGTGCAACAGACATCAGTTTTTTTTCCAGATATCATTTTTTTTGTGGGCCATTTAAATAGTAATTATACTAAAATACAAATGGGAGGGCTGACAGGAAGTCCTTTTTTGCTCTAACCATTCAGTTGTCCTGTTCCAAATGGAATATTGGTCACCAAACACTAATAAACAGTCAGTTTTTTTTTTAATGCCAAAAAGCAGATCCTCGTGTTTGGTTTTGTCAGTTTTTCATTGTTTCCTCTTTTTCAATTATCTTTTTATATCGATAATCATTGTTCTATAACTATAGTGATAAATGTTTTTCTAAGTACAAATGTGTGTATTTTAAGTGAAAGATATGGAACTGATTGCCCAAAAATATTATAAGAAACTTTAAGATAAAAAAGTCGCTGTATCAAAAACGACCAGTTGGGCAAATGGGTAGGGAGTTTTACTGGTTGGCTGGCTGTAATTATATGTCCCCATTGCTAGACGAGTACCCAAGCTTGAGAGAAGACAGCAAACAAAGTTTTGTTCCCTCTTTTACTAAAGATAGGAACTATTATTTACTCTCAGCAATTCAATTATCACATTTGGATTGGAAAGTTGTCTCTATTAGGGCAATATGGTGGATCAGTGTCCATGTTAATGGTGTGAAATGGCATCATGGTTAATATATGCATATGAGTGCCTTGAAGCTTGAAGAAAGAAAATCCCTTTGATGAATTCATCACCAACTCTGAATATCAAGTGCCACGATTACAGCCTGGCTTGAATAGAATTGGAATACAATTTTTCATGCAGTGTAATAATGATGGGTCCATATTTTATTGCTTGTCAAATTTCTCTTTTTTTACACGCAATTTGTGGTCCTTTGACAATAGTATTACCATAGATTTTCAATTAAACCATTCATGACTTGGTATCAGAGTATATTAATATAATGAGATAAGGGTATAAATTCTATAAATCAGGATTCAATTATTTTCCTCTTTCCTGTAACATAATTTTATTTGGTTCTTAGCAGTACAATGGCATTATTTATTTTCTAGATGTGAGTCCTCTGGTGCTGTGTTTTAGAGTGAAGTTCTACCCTGCAGAACCTCACAAACTTAAAGAGGAAATTACAAGGTACGTAGGTGACAGTTCTTTTGGCAAGCAACTTAGGCGCAATAGAACATCATGAAGGTCCAATACTTAGACTTCATCTAAAATAATGCAGTGACTTTGAAGAAATTTAATAATGCAGATAATTGGATATACTTTGCTTGTGAAAGTTAAATTTACATATATATTTTATTGCAGTTCAATAAAGTAATTGTGAACACAATTCTTCACGCTATCAAAGGCATCTTAATAATGCAGCTTTCATTCAACTGAACTGTCACACATAATGCATCTTAAAATATTGAAATAGGCCTATGTTAAAATTTTAAACCATGAGCTACACATCATTGTAGTCTAAAGTCTGCCATCTCAAGTATTTCCAGAGCTGGGTCACTTGGGTTGCTAATGATTGCTTTCAGGTTGAAGGGATTAATGGCCTTTTGTTGCTCTGAGATTGTCTTAAAGCTTCTATCATTTATCCATCTGAAACAAATAAATGTCCATTTTAAATGCAGGGTTCTCACGCCTATTATAGTCCCAAACCAAGGCAATCAACAAAATGAGTTATCTCTAGTTATTTTCTGAGCCCTGTCATGAGACGCTGCAAGAATATTAGAAATTCATTAAAACCAAGAGATTTAGTTCATTGATCTGAAGGCACATGTACTATGGGCCAACTTTGGCATAATTGCTATGCACACACTTGTCTGTATTGACAGTATGTATTATGTGTCACTTTGGTCAATAATTATATTGCACTCCTTCATTCCTTTGTCCATAATGTGCTGCAACATAATGTAACATATAGTTTTCAGACTAATAAAGTGACACATGATCTTAAGTGCAGGGTAAAAGTAAAAGATCAATCTACTTAAATGCCAGATTGATACATTTGCATATGAAGTTATTTTGTA